AACATTTAAAAGCTCCACTTCCACTTGTGGATGTACGCAGCTTATGGACTTCTCGCCTGATGGTTTCAATATATGGCTTATTCCAGAAGCATCATACGATTGGTTTGCTGCCCACTGTGCGTGCTGCCCTCAAGACAAACAGAAATATAGGATAGAATAACTTCTTCGCTAGATAACCGCACTCATTTCTTCCGCATGCAATGGTGAAAAGTCTGACCACACAACAGCAAAGACGTAATACTCGAATAAATATGTTACAGACGTTAAAAAAAAAGTACACAAATTGAAAGAAATACGGCTTAAAAAGCATATATATCCCAATACCATATAGAATATCTTCCCCATACATTTTGAAAGAATTTTTTAAAGTTTTAGTAGAAGTTTTACGGCGCTCGCAACTGCATAAGGTCGTATGAGCGCCAGAAGATTAGAGGTGTTACAAGAGAGTAACAAACATAAAAAAGAAGAAGGGGAGATAAGGACGATAGATGTTTGATAGTAAAGAAGAAGCAAACCACACCAGAGCACCCACCAACCACCCACTGAAAGAATTTGTTACAACGAAGCAGATTATGAACCATAAAAATACAAGTGACATTCCAAAAAAATTATCTGGTGGAGATACAAAAGATGAAACAGATCTCAACACAGGAAATAATATCAGCCATGCTTCACACACACTGACAGTGACACACACACTCTGACAATGACAGACCCGAGTGCATCAAGAAGCACTTTGTCTGGACTAAAAAGGACTATCTCCGTAATAGATTTCTTTAAAAATATAAAAATAAAATAATACTTTTGGCGTCTGACAATAAAAAGGGTATATATATATATATATGGCTTGACAGCGCAGAGAAGAATAACTATAACTTCAATGTCTTAAGCAATCCATTTAAGTCCGTGCGCGTATTTTTTTATACCAGACACACAAAAAAAACCTCCAGTTTTTGTTGTTGTTCCTATCAGGAATTAGGAAAACAAACAAAATAGAAAGCTTTCACCATTGCATTAAACTGCATTTTGGCAAGGTTTAGTGTTAGTTCTAGTAATAGTTTTTACGGCACTTGCAACACAATAAGGTCATATAAGTGCTGAATATTAGAGGTGTTACAAGAGAGTAACAAACACAAAAAAAGAAGGAGGGGGAGAAGATAAAGAAGATAGATGTTTGATAGGAAAGAAGAAGTAAACCACACCAGAGCACCTGCCAACCACCCACTTCTGGTGAGGTTGAAAGAAAGGTGCATCTTTGATAGTTTGAAGAGAGGGTGCAAAAATAGAAAATTCTCACAAATTCGGACTTAAACGGATTGCTTGCGACAGCGACGATCAGATCTTATAAAAAGAAGTTAGTGGTATGAAAACACATTTTCGGTTACTGAATATCTGTCCCCGTTGTTTTATGCATCCCGCATAATTTGGGAAAAATTTGACCATTTTTTTACATAATTTCGTATTATTTTCCTTTATCACTCTTTGTTAAAATTGACAGAATCGCATAATTTCACATTTTTGGGCTTAATTTCATAATTCTTTTTGCATTATAAGACTGCGAGAAAAGAAATATATACGGGAAAAATGCAAATTAAACTTACACCTTCAATCTTTTCTTTCTCCTATATATCGTTGAAAGCGATGGAAGACCCGACCCGGGACTGGTATTGTAGGAAACAGTTGTCGTCAGACTCATCGATATTCCTCACCTCGTCAAACTGGTTTCAGCTGCAGCGACAATTTTGATTGGGAATGGGTCTTTGTAAATAATGGGACAACAATATTATCTGCAGCCTTCAGACAAGGGTCATCCTCATAATAATAATTATTATAATAATAATAATAAAGAGCATTTGTATAGCGCATGTCCCCGCTCAACAGCAAGCTCTAAGCGCTTTAGACTATATCATCCTAAAGAATGAAATATTACCTCGAAACTTTTCTAATCCTGCATAAAAAAATGATTCATCCTAAACAGACCCAGAAATTCATATGTGAGGCAACGTGGTGGAATCAGGCTCTCGTCAATTTTTGGGCCTATTGAGTTATTGGTGTCAACTTAAAGCTTGTTCATTTGTCTTAATTTGGATGAAAAAAATATCCATTTATCTTAAATACAAGTAGAGATATTTAGTTATTTCCTTAGCTTAAGAGTCCGTGGTAACTGAAAATTTACATTTTTATGCCTATGATCAACGCTTTTCAGAAAAAATTCACACAGAAATGAGTTCTTTAATGGGCATGAAAGGTGTTGAGCCAAAAAATAAAAATTTGATACAAATTCACAAACCTGCGGAAAAATGCAAGTTTCTTCACTTTGATTATTTTGACGGGAACCTGATTCCACCACGCTGTCTCACATATTATAAAACATATAATATCTCACAACAACGTCACTAATACAATGAATGGATTAAGTCATTTTTGTAAAATGTTGTAGTTGCCAAAAAAACCCAGATATATATATATATGAGGACACAGGCTGCAACATCACAGAACCAAGTCGGTATACAAGATAATACGAACAAAAAACAAAATGAGTCACAACCACGATAGAGATAAGTTGTTGTACAACGGAATGGTCGCTACAAGTTGTAAATAAATAGAGAACCAAGTCGGACTACTGGATCAGTCGACAGTCCCCAAGTCCCAAACATTCACGAGGTGGGACATTCGACAGCGCACATTACATACAGACCCTCTCAGAGATTCATCACCTTTGTGCCCTTATATGTACATCTCCACACAGTACATTTTCATATTACAAATACAATCAAAAGTATAAATGACCAGACGGGAAGAGCATAAAGGATTATTTCACCTTTGTGCACTAATATGTACATTCCACACAGTACATTTTCATGTAACAAATACAATCAAAAGTATAAATGACCAGACGGGAAGAGCACAAAGGATTATTTCTGCAATAAAAGCAGAGTTTGCAATTTTTATACAGACATTAAAAGATTACCTCACCACTGTAACACAAAAGTAACTGAAATTGTACTGAGACAAGAAATATTAAATGCTGAACTAACCGTTGTATTCCAAGTCGATCATTTGACTGACATTTTTAAAGTCGTATCAAACAAAATCAAAGAACCCGCATAACAAAACGGCTCAATTTACAAGTACAAATAAAAAATGTCAGCTTCATAAAGACACTGCATTCTACAACACAATAGAGCAATACATTTTGGGGCTTAGATAGACTATTCTGTTTCATTTTCTCAAAGACACTTACTAAGATACCCTCTTTTACACAATTTGTTCAGTCTTGTTGACATCTTACTAAGCAACGAAATAGAGCGGTTAAAAAAGAATCAACAGCAACAGAACCTATCTAGATTCCATAAAAATAATACTGAAATCAAGCGCAACTAGCGTACAACCTTTCCCTTCCCAAAAAAGGAAGTTTCGATAAAATAATTTCTGTAGTCCCTTCCAGAAAAAAAAAAGTTTTAATAAATTTATTTCGGTAGTTTCTACTCTCAAAGTATGGAAAAGTACATCACAGAGAAAAGAAATGTCAACTCAATCAGACAAGCACTTGAGAGGCAATGTTACATTTCTGAAACAGCACCTTCATGTTCTTATGATAACACAAAGATATTATAATCATTATCAACAAATGACTTGCAGAAAAAAAAACAACTCAATACATCAGTGACTACAGGAAGCAACTTTTCGCTTAAAAATCTGGACTTCTACATTGCCCTGCGTCTTATCCATGAGATAGGAATATAGACCCGACCCCAAAAAACCATTGGCAGCCAACCAAGGGAACAAACTATGTCGGTCAGATAATCAGTAAAATATGTAAGACTTCTGATTACAAACAGGTGAGTTAAAAAAAAACCCAACAGCTTTGATTTCTTTTGCTTTGAAGCATGGCTGGTGCTCGACAAGAAAAAGTTGGTGCATTTTATCTGATAAAGCATAATAATATGCTTAATACATTGTATAGAACTATTGGCTCTCTGGTCTGCTTTCCTCTCACCCATGCATCTGTCCCATACATGATGATATACACAGACAGACTTGCCAACTCTTCTATGACCAAAGATAGGAGTTTTCCTCAGGATCCTCCCTAAAATTTAAGAGTTTAGGGCAAAAAAATCATAGTCCCCAGAACTCTAGTAGATTCAGGTCATGTTACAAACAGATCGTGGCAAATAAATCTGCATTGAAAACGCACGCGAATATACTCAAATAAAAGTGTGGATTTGACAATCATTTACAATAATTAGCACAAATATTGCAAATGAATGCAAATAAAAACAACCGCCAGTGTATTTTCACATAATTTATGACAAGTTGTGTATGGCGGTCGGAAACAGAACTAAAGAAAGAAAACAGGATTTTTAGTAAATCCGATTAGGATTCTTCCTTTGGCAAATTAATGGAACGCTCAAATTTTATGGGACAACTTGACAGGTTTGTATGCGGTAAAAGTAAAACAATCGTGAATGGGTATCTATTAAAATGTGGAGGTCCATGATCGCCCACGCCAGTCGGCAAGGCACCGGATGATGATGATGATGATCTATAAAAAAAACTTCCGTGGTTTTCTGTGCTACAGCTCAATATAACTGGTCGGCATATTACCCAAAAAGGGAGAAAAGTTATTTTTTAAAATTATAATAATAATGGTTTTATCAATATCACCAATACTGTTGGATTGTGTAAACATAGAGGGTTTTTTCCCCCACCTCCTCAACAATCTGGTTCCAATCCCAGACCCATTGATATTGCTGCTGTTTTGAACATAAAGAGATAAATTTTTCTCATGGTTTTCAAAGATCTCTCTCTCTCTCTCTTGCCCTTTTTAACTCCCAGTGGAGTAACGGCCAACAACAACAAAGATATCAGGATGTTCTTACCATCTCAAAAACTGATAGCGTTGCCAATATCAATGACCTTTGTAGAACGTACTCGGCTTAAAACACCCTCTCTACTGTAACATTCACTTTTCATAAAGTCCTGATTCCCATTTGGTATTTTTTTTCTTTTTAAATGCTGTGTATACAACATTCCTGCTCAAAACAAACTTTTTACTATAATAATACTGTGTGACTTTTGAGGGGATTTAACGATCAAACGTTCCTTTTTTTAACTCTTTGGGGACGTAACGGACACATATGTTCGATTAGTTGCAGAGAAAAGTCAACATTTTAGAACATTTTCAATCATCATCCAAAAATCAGAAAAATAATTTTGCTTATATCATAGTATACGTACAATCTCAAGCCTTTTAACGTGTCAGATAAAGAAAATAAAACAGTAAAATATGTTTTACCGATGAAGTAATGCCCCAAAACAGAGAATCTTCAAGCCTTGACAAAAGACGAGAAAGCGTGTCGTCAATGAGTAAACTTACATTGTACATTGAGAATATACTGAAAAATGACCCCAAAAAATGATAGTTTTACTGTACTGGAATGCAATACAATCAGCTGCAGAGAGAACGGGAGTATAAGATCTAGCTTCCCTTGAAAGCAAACACCTATGACACAACTTCATTTTAAAAAATCCTAAGTAACGTAGTCACTACTGCAGTTTTCCAGCACTCATTTGACAATGTTTTAAACCTCCACATCAGTAACTTCCAAGAAATTTTACTAAGAATCTAGATCTAATTTTAAATTAAAGAAAAAAACTTTTTAAAAAAATCAAACGACAACCACAAAAGAAAAGGGATAAAAGGCACTAACCCAAAATAATTGAATTGAATTGAATTATTGCTTTAAGCAGGCACACTACTCCTATAGTTTATGGGAAAAGTTGTAACACAGAACAGAACAACGGGCTCATTCCTGAGTTGGAAACACTTTATACAGAAAGTCTAATAGAAAAATGATCATAGCGTGGAGTGTTTTGAATTCTGAATTTGATTTTCTCAACACCTGAAACCATGACCTACATTATTTTTTTTTCCACTGCAATCTTCCAAAAACATGACGTAAACCATATTTTTTTCCACTGCAATCTTCCAAAAACATGACGTAAACCATATTTTTTTCCACTGCAATCTTCCAAAAACATGACTTAAAAGCATATTTTTTCTACTGCAATCTTCACAACTTCATCCAAGATGCCGGTATCAGTTTCACGCCATCACACCATGAGAAAAACACCCGCCCCCCCAAACCTAGGGCTGGTAATACACCGTGGGCTTGTCCGCCATGACTTTCATCGGCTGGGCGTTGTCTTCGTCCCGCACGCGAATGAAGAAGAACACGGTGGCTCCGACCAGGAAAATGACGGCTCCCCACGCGATGCCGTACGTCCAGTCAAACACGAACTGGGCCGTCTCCGCTTTGTTGTCGTCATTGCCGGTGACCTGTCGGGGAAAGAGAGAAGAGAGAGGTGAAGGAATTACAATTTAAAAAGTGACCTGTAACAGGAAAGAGAGAAGAGAGAGGTGAAGGAATTACAATTTAAAAAGTGACCTGTAACTTAAAAAGACAGGAGAGAGAGAGGGGGGGGGGAGTCAAAAGTATGGTAAAAAAGAGTGACCTGTGACGGAAAAAGAGAGGAGGAGAGAGGTGAAAGAATCACGATAAAAGAGTGACCGATGATGAAAGATAGAAGAAGAAAGGTGAGTACGTAACAATAAAAGAACGTCTTGTAGTGGAAAGAGAGAGGAGAAGAGAGGCGGAAGACTTACCCAGAGTTTATTATCTTGTAACACATTTAACTGGCAGAATTTAATGTCTATTCCCGATATCACTGAATCAAAGGAGTAGGGAAGGGGAGGGGGAGGGGCGTGTGGAGAGGCTAGAAAATGTTCTTAGCAATGAAAATCAAAAATGTGCCATCAGGAAATTCAACCAGGATCATATCTGCATCATTGCACAGTATGTATAACACCAACTGCCACACCCCCTCCCCACTCCTCATCCGAACAGCATTGTATCCATTCAGATGACAAGCCTTACACAACCACACAATAATTAGTCACCTTAGCCTGCCCATTGACTCACTCCTGAGTTTCCGTTTCACTTTTCCAGTGGATGTGCAGTGATGCAGCATGTCAGGCACATACAACTGCCACTTTAAAAGACAACCACAACAAGTTAGAACCTCCCTCCCTACCACTAGAAAAAATAGGAATGACACTTCTAGAAAGCACAGATTATTTAAAATGTGATTGAAAAATCCCCCCCCCCCCCAAAAAAAAAAAAAAAATTTTTTAATTAAAAATAACTAAAATCTTAATCCTTACCTTCCTTCTAATCAAACTTCTATGCTCACTATCAAGTTTTTCATATTACAAATATAAAGAGAATTATACTTCACTTTGATCATTCAAAACGATAAAAATATCCAAATTTGCGCAACATTTTTTTTTCCACACCATACATGTGAGGCAGCGTCGTGAAATCAGGCGCTTGTCAAATTTTTTCCGCAGGTTTTGGAATTTTTATAGAATTCTTGTTCTTTGGTTCAACACCTTTCATGCCATTTAAAGAGCACATTTCTGTGTGGATTTTACTGAAAAACGTTGATTTAAATTTTCAGTTTTCACCGACTCTCAAGCTAAAGAAATAACTCAACTTTGGCAGACATTTTCTCACAAATTTTATCTCTGAAACCAGGTGACCCTCACCTCCTTCAATCACACATATCTCGACTTCTATTCAACACAGATGGATATTAATTTGACCCAAAACAAGAAAAATGGACAGGCCTTAAGATGACACCATCCACACCGCATGCCCAAACTTGACGAGAGCCTGATTCCACTGCGTCACCTAAATTTAACTTTCTGAGAGAGAAGTATCGAGCATCATTTTTTGCAATTTTTTTCCCATTGCAAGACAAATTACAACAACGTCAACCCCATTTATTTGACATAACACAGCAACATTTCTCACCTCAGCTGTGAATTTGACTGGGTAGATGATCAGAGAGATGATGTGGAACATCGCTGAGGAAGAAAAAAAAAATAAACAACCAATGTTTCAACTTACTCTTTTGACTCTTGATTTACAAGGATAACTTGAACAAGGCAGGGGGAAAATCTTCGTTATCAATGTAAAAGACCGGTCCCAAAACATAGAAAAATAAGCATCTTAATGGAGTCCGTACATACCAGAGTCAGGTCTCTTTGTTTTATTAAGAGTTTTACAGCCCATGCAACAGAATAAGGTCATATAAGGGCCGAAGACTAGAGCACCCACCAACCATCCACATTATTGTCTTTTGTTTCCACAAAGACAGCAGACAATACAACACAATCATTTTTTGGGGATATAGTAGAGGGTTTTACGGCGCTCGCAACTGCATAAGGTCATATGAGGGGTGGGTATCAACAGAGAAGTCTTTAGAGGGAATCAGACTTAGACAGCTCACCTCTCTAGCTTCAACA